GACTGGCCTGTGCAGGTGCAGATGGGGCTCTGCCATGCGTGGGCTGCGTATAATTAAAGAACTGACCTACAAGACCAGTTCCAGCCACTTCACCAGTAACACGTGAGAGAAAATACTACCCAACTCACAGGCTTGCTGTGAAGATTAAGTTGAATAATTAATATAAATATAAAACATTCAGTAAGAACCTGTAATGAGCGCCCACAAGTCTGCTGTGTACTATCGTCTTCCTTATTAAGGGCACTGCTTGTATAAGGAATGCACACGAAGCTTCATCAAGGTTACGCTATATTTGTTTAAAACTAGGAGAGGGTAGGTCCTCTCCTCTGAAGTTCTACATACCCATCTAAGATCCCACCTAAAAGATCTAATCCTTGGAGGACCTAGCACAGGCTCTTGAGAGCACAGATCATGTTCATGAGAAAGAATGAAAGCTAAGACGTCCTCAATTAACACTAGCCAGAGGGCACACGCATTTGTACCCTAGGTATAGACCGCTGCACATTAGTAGCACCCTCAATAGGATATACCAGAAAAAGGGATGAGATTTTATTCTCTATTTCAAATAATATAATAAAGTTAAAAGGGTTGAAGTACCGAGAAGAAAGGCAGAACTTTCATGCCTTCATAAAACTGGGAGAACTGTTCCCAGGACAGTACTTCTGCCCTTGAGCAGAGTGCAGTCCAGCCCAGGAGGGCTCACTCTCTAGATCACCTTCCAGTTCTTTCCTGATTCAGACTCCAAGATCTGCAGAAAGAGCACTGAAGAAAAATAAGAAACCCTGAAAATTAAACAATCTAAGCAGCCAACTCAAAAAGCTAAAAAAAGATCAAAATAAACCTAAAGAAACAGATGACTTTCTAGGAAATCATATAAATACTAAAAAAATGATTCAATGAAAAGTAGAAAACCTGATTATAACCAGATCAGAAACAGATTTTTAAAAACAAAACTATAAATAATCTGTGAGTATAAATGGAAAAACACTAAATACCAAATAACTGAAACCAGTAGCTTAGAAATAAGCATACATAATGAGAAGCTTCTGTCAGAGGTTCCAGGATGCTTACTATTAGAAGATACACTGAAGCATTGTATACATTAATAGCATAAAGGAGAAAGAATCATATGATTATCAATAGTTGCCCAAAGATGTATCTGACATTTAAGAACCATTCCCAATTTTTTAAAAAAATCCAACTAATTTAGGAATAGAAAGTTTATTAACTAAACTGCCTTGTATGACCACATAATACAAACCTAGAACATCCCCAGTAATAAAATGCTTTAACTTCCTATTAAGTTAGAAATACCCCCTCATAAACAAGAATTTGACAGTGTCTTTCAAAATTATTGTGCATTTTCCTTAGACCTAGCAACCCTACCCCTAAAAAAGTATTCCAAAGACAAGCTGGCAAAATATAAAAGGATGTATGAAGAAGGCTATTTATTTACTGTGACAGCAAAGACTGGAATCCACAGAAGGAAACCATTAACAAACTGCCCACCTACAGATGGTTTAAAAAGAGAGAATGAGAAAAATCTCTACGTCATTCTAAAGAGTAATCTCCAGAATATATTACTAACAGGGGAAAAGCAAGAAATTAAAAAGGAGTATAGTATGCCTCTTTAAAAAACACTGGGAGAAATAGAAATACATTGATGTATAGCATATATTCAGAAAACAGCATTTAAAGAATAAACCAAAGGCCAATATCCAGGATCATCTTCGGAGGAACAGAGAGAACAGGGATGAAGGACAAGGATAGAAGTAAACCTCTCTGAACTTCCTTGTTTTATAGTTTCAACTATAAACCATGTAAATGTGGGATGTAATTTTTTTTAATGTAAAAAATAAAAGGAAAGCAATCCTGAAAAATAAAAAATCAACTGAAACAAATCACTCTGATTGTATGTCAAAGTGGTAGCATAATCACACAGAGAACTATTTCAGGTGACTTAACTCTCTGGCATGATGTATCTTAAGCCCATAGTGAGGTATAGGGAAATCCTAATTAAAAGGATGTTCAATGGGTTATTTGTAACAATATTGCTATTTTTAAATTATTATAGATTTTGATGTTTGGAACAAAGATTTCCAGCATGAGAAAACATATTCAAGTATTTACTCAAAGTAGTTAATTAAAAACCTTAAAATCTTTCCTTTAATGAAGCATGATTGATTTCTTCCCATTATAAAACCTACAAACTTGTTAGCACTGCCCACCGAAAACCCTAAAAGAAATGAAAACCCAAGGGCAAGGTGCATCTCCAGGGTCCAGATTATGGTTTCTAAATACCATAGTGTAGTGGAAACTAAAAGGAAGCACAGCTCCTCAGAAAAATGACAGTTCCACCTCTGTGCAAGAAACAGACAAGATGAGCTTAGGTATCTGGTCATGTAAGAGCACAAGCAAGCTACCAAGGATGACTAGAGTCATGTCAAAGGAACACAGGAGAAGATGACAATTTGAGCATCACAATAACAATAAAAGAAATAATGACTGAAAATAGACCAAAATACATAAAATACATTTTCTAATCTAGGAGTTCATAATAATATCCCCTCCCCCCCCAAAAAAACCCTCTAAGTCATCTTTGAAGACTGTTAGAGCATTGATCACTATAAATAGAAAGACTCAAGCATGTACCTTGCCCTTCCTGTATTAATTATATTTAAGTTAACAGTTGATAAGAGAAAACTCTTATTTACAGAAGGATCCTACATAATAGGCATACAAGGAATGAAGTAACTAGGGAAACATCATTTTTGCAATCTCAATAAAATAATGCATATAGATGCCCATCATTTGGTAAATATTCATGGAGAAATTTATAATAGAATGAGCAGGCCAAAAATCTCAACCACGGATCAATCTCAATATAATTAATATTTAGACAAATGTCTTAAAAGACACAAATACCAAAGCTTACTCAAGAATAAATAGATAATCTAAGTAGTCCTATATCTATAAAAGAAATTGAAGCTGTAGTTAAAAACCTTCCCAGAAAGAAACCTTCAGGCCTTGATGGCTTCCTGAGGGAATTCCACCGACCATTTCAAGGAGGAATTACTACCAATTCTAAGTAAAATCCAAAAAATCCGAAAGGTATGAATACTTCGCAACCTACTCTATGAAATCAGGAGTGGCCTGAGACCAAAGCCGCATTAAACATTACAACAACTGGGAGATACAAAGGGAGAGAAATAACAAAGATGAAATACTAAAGATCTTACCAATAAATGTGCAAAACTAGTATGAAGAAAATTCTGAAACACTCTAAAAGACATGTAAGTATTTTTGAACTAAATGAAAGACATACCACATTATTGGGTAGGACAAGTCAACAACAAAGATGTCAATTCACTTCAGGTGAATGTCAAATATACATTTGAAATGATTCTAATAAAAATGTCGACAAGCATAGAAAAACCTAGAAATCTTGAGTCAAAAAGCAAAGACTCAAAGACCAATGGGGGTGTATCAAACAAGCACAGAAGCCAGCTTGAAATAGAGCCCACTGATCAAACTAAGGACAATTTTAGCTTCAAAAAGAATAATGTTTGTATTTGTCTATAAATTATTAAATAAATTAAAAACGCAGAGTCCACAATGACCTAAACAACAAGAAGAGGGGGATCCCTGGGTGGCGCAGCGGTTTGGCGCCTGCCTTTGGCCCAGGACGCGATTCTGGAGACCCCGGATCGAATCCCACGTCGAGCTCCCAGTGCATGGAGCCTGCTTCTCCCTCTGCCTGTGTCTCTGCCTCTTTCTCTCTCTCTCTCTCTGTGTAACTATCATAAAATAAATAAAACTTAAAAAAAATTAAAAAAAAAAACAACAAGAAGAGTGTGCACTCAAAATAATTTCCACCATAGGAAGTGATGATAACATCAATTCCTTAATCTGAGTATTGGTGGTCAGAAAAGAAAGGATTAGAGCATTTATCCTGCCACTACAGGAGTTCACCAGTTGATGTGTGGAAATTCTTTATAAAATTTCAGTTAATAAATGTAGAAATATTGACATAATTAGAAAATCATCATTTTCTAAACTCTGAAAGAAATTGATTCAGGCAGAGATTAGTAATGGATGTCAAAACTATTAGAAAAAAAGAATGTTGGAGAATTCACAAATAAAGTATTAAATTTCCCCTATAAAACACTACTACCAAAAATGTTAAACTTGAGGGCCACCTGGGTGGCTCAGTCTGTTAAGCATCTGTCTTTGGCTCAAGTCATGATCCTGAGGTCCTGGGATTGAGCCCTGCATCAGGCTCCGTATTCAGCAGGGACTCTCCTTAAGATTCTCTCTTTCATTCTGCCCCTCCACATCCTTGTGCTGTCTCTCACTATCTCAAATAAATAAATAAAATCTTTTTTTAAATGTTAAACTTGTATCTATATGATTCTGTACATCAAACCTCCATGTTTACAGGACACAGACAAATGAAACCGAGAGGAAACAAGAAGACAAAGCAGAACAGGGGGCATTCTATATTCCTTCTTCCCTTTCATTCAACTGAGCCCCCTCCCTCTCAGCCTACTCCAGTCTCCGTCTCAGTTTTAGTGAGCATGGTAAACATGGATGCAGGATATACAGAAGAGTGGTTTCCCTTCATTCTTATCCTGGACAGGTGCTACACTGGCCCTGTGGGCAAGCTTACCAAATTCCTTTGAGAAAGAAGGGAAGAAGTTTGGGGTAAGAGGAAGAGGCACAGCAGGGCAAAATAGTAAGGAAAGTATCAGCAGAAAACATGAGTAGAGAATATTCCAGAAGGTAGAGAGGTGGTAATGAAAGAGATGGAGCCCGAGGCTAAAGAGACTAGATCTGGCCATGGTATTTCACAAGTCCTAGAATGAGGTGTGGGTATGAGAAGACAGAGTGCCAACAGATGATCAGTGAAGAGACAATTCTTAACTCAAATATAAAAATAGGTCCCTTATTGTCTCTAACCTTTTAATTTCATACTGAAACAAAAAGTCAATTAGTTTCACCTTTCTTGGTAAAGAGATTGCGAAATGTACCACACAGGTAGAAAACTCCACCGCTGTGCATATCAACATGCAGCTGGTAGCCATGTAGTCCATACTCCGGGTTGTCATCCAAAAGAGGAGTATGAGGAGGTAGCTCGTAGGGGCTAAAGAAAGCAAAACAAAACATACACACATTTGTCAACCAGAGATAAAATGTTTAAACTGAAAATACTCCTTAAAAAAATTAACATCTGTCCAAACACCAGCTTCTATCAATCCTCTACAGAGTTCCCAATAGCCTTCCACACCAGGAACTCAAAAGAATTGCTTTGTGTTCCTTTCACCAACTCATATAAAAACAGGAAAAGGAGTGAGTTCTGTAAGTATCCACAAGATGACCACGGATGAATACGTTCCTGGGATCTGCCTAGGATAGCAGCTCGGCAAAGACAACTCTGCTACCCAGAGGTCTCAGTAACCAGAGAACGGAGCTGCTCAACAGGAAAATGCACCAAACAACAGACCTATAGATCAGGAACCAGGCAGAGACCCAAAGCTACGATGAACAAAGTTTTATTCAGTAAGAAAAACCTTACTACATAAAGTAACAAACTCAAAAGCATTCAGGAGCTTTTCAAATAATAATTTTAAAAATGAATGTGAAAGCAGGAGTGAAATAAAAAGCATATTTCCCACCTCAAGACCTTCAAAGTCATTAAAAGACACGTACTATGTTGACCAAGCAAAACACATCTGCAGACCCAACTCAGCCATGGGTCTGTGTGCCTTGCAAGATATAAAAACTCACATTAATGCAAAGAACAGGAAACATCTTGATGCACTGGCATCTTGCAGCAATGAAGCTATTCTGCCCCCATAAATAACATTCTACTAGGGACATAATCCTTAACCCAGAACAAATAAAGCAAATATGTACTCATGAATAATCCAATTATTTTAGCAACAGCTAAGTAATTATGCCTATTGGCTTGTGTCTACTGATTAAAAACAGAATATCTTTGTAGCTACTCTCAGGATATTAAGATGGTATCAACTTCTAATCCTTTATATTTACTGTCAAAAATTTAATACACCCACACATAAATACATACACAGTGGCTGAGCCTAATGTGCTCTTCTCCACAAGGTGATGGAAATGAAGATTTGCCATAACAAAAGCCAGTTCTTCCTCCCTCTGAAAAGTCAATTAGAAAGAATACAATTTTCAACTGAAATATTAATTTTTCACAAGGTCGTTGTGAAGATCACAGCACATTCACGTTACAGATAGATGTCGTTTCTTACAACTCTAAGATCACCACGGTACGAATGCATTATTACTGCTAATACATTATTACTACCCAATAAGACTTATGTGTCATACTGAAAGCAGGACAATTCACCCAAATATGCAGAGCATGCAATACCAAAAGGATTAATGTCCTAGCACTTGTGAAATGTCAAATCACTCTATTACACACGATTGTGAAAATATATGTTAGCTCCAGGTCCCTTCAAACTCTTTACCAAGATAAAGATGGTACTGGTAAGACCTTCACATATACAAGATTAATTCCACAAATACTTAGCATTAGTGGCATACATTCGTCTCTTGAGTACCCACTTGACTTGGCAAAGCCAATGGGGATGAAGGGTTTCACCCACCAGGTTAAGTAGTAGAAAATATGACTGTAGAGGAACAGATATCCATTTCTCCCCAAACTCACAGCAGACACTGTCTGGTGTGGGTAACCCAGAATGGTCAATCCAAGGCACCTCTTTCCAGTAGCCCGCCAGAGGAGGGTCCTCATAACTATGTGGGCCAACAGACTGATGAATTCAAGTCCAGGAAATGTTTAGCAGGCCAAGTGTTGCCTGGGCCAAAAGTCACCCTCACACAGTGAGGGAGGGATGGAAAAACTGGCTGCTTGCAAAGGATGATGAGAGGATGATGCTGTATATCTTGGTTCTGTCTGGTCATAATTTAGAATCACATTTGTAAACTTCTATCTTAAAACACCCACAGACCACGGCCACAGATGCCCACACAACTGGTGTACAGAGAAACATCACACTGTTAACGCTCTTCACTAAAGTGCCTGCCTAGAAAGTAACCCCAGAGGAGGGAGCTGGCCAACAGCCTCACCCCATGAGAAAGGAAACCTCATCAAGTGGGAAAGGAGAAGTCTTCAGACACTGTATCCTGAAGGGCAGATTACACTTAACATCACATGCTTGGGATCAGACACACATGTGCCGCCTGGGTTAAACAGTAAAGTAAGAGACACTCTGGCCAACACAGGATATGAGAGGCGAACAGAGCATGTATTGACTGGAAGAGAAAGGGGGCGATTCCCATGACGTGGAAGAGAGAATGCAGACAAAAACATGCAGGCAGGAACAGGTGGCCTGTAATCCGTGACAGCAAAACAGCAGAGTAGCCTCCACAGAGCAGAGGGTCATTTCGCTGGAAAAATGAAATCGCTAAGAGCGTAAAACAGGTTTCCAGGTTAGTGGACACTCACAGGAACCTCACATTTGGCATCCTGCACAATGGTGAGTAAATGTGGAGTTGGGAGGGAGATGGCACCATGCAGGCAGGGGCTTCAACCTTACCTTCCACAGCCCCACCAGGAGGCCTGGGTGTAGACAGAAGATCCGAATGAGTCTGTCCCAGCCAATCATGGTGGATTCAGTTAAGTTACTCAGATTGTACTTTGCAATTAAAGAAAGCCACCGAGGTCTTTGAACATCCATGCCAAAGAAAGGAAAGAGAGAAATGAGCTTTCACGCCTGGAATGTTATCAATTCTGTCTAGGGTATCTAAAAATACTTTTGAAGAGCATGCTAATAATGTGCACCTTGCTAAGAAATAGTGCATGGAGGGCCAAGGGACACAAACAACTCCTATAACTAAAAAGAAAATGGATACACCCAAATTTCTTGCCCAATTATGTTTTCCTCCTCCTTGCTGTTACTGTCAACTCAACAGCCCAGTCAGAAGTGGAAGAATCATGAGGATGGGAAAGAACCATGTTCTTTCCTCTTCCCCTCAGAAACCAGCACAATGCTAGAGTCAAAAGCAGATTCTCCTATGTATTCATAACCAAGGGAAATAACACCTAAGCAAAGACAAAATATTCTAAATGACAAAAAAGCAGGTGGTATCAGTAGGCTGTCTGAAAGCAGATAACATACCTTTTAAAATTATTATCAAAAATAATTTAGAGTGTGTGAAAATTTTAATACTAGGAAATGAATTTAAACCAAAACCCTGAGTATTGTCATGAAGGAGATCCACTGTGAACTCTATATTAGAATCAGTGTCTAAGAGTAAGTAATAACTCAGATGTGTAAACACAATACTGCTGTTCACCGTAAGACTTAAAAACTGGAATGAAAGATTTCTAGGGACCTAGAGATAGTTCAGGAAATTATAAGGGAGATGAGATCACAGTGGTCAATTAACGCAGCTCAGTATTAGAAGAGGGTCCCTAAAGAGCTGGGGCCACATGGCATTCAAGCATTCTCCTCCAGCACCTAAGGCACCAGCTAGCAGGAGATGTATTCAAATATTCACTAAAAGAATCAGAAAACTAAGGAGTTCAGCTGTGGCACTGTTTCCAAGTGGGGGCATGGGACCAGGAGGCTTTAAGCATCAAAACCAGATCTGCAGTTTCTAGACTACCCTGGTCCCTCCCTCAATTTTCAAAGGACGTTTTATGCTGAAAACCATACTTGTTAGGGAGTGGTGGGGAGCAAGCATGTGTGTGATGTATGACCTAAAAATATACTCCACATAGGTAGAATACATGGAGCAGAAGCAAAACACAGGGTTAGGAACCTAAGTATGGCATCAAGCAAACCTTAAATCCAACCCTAAGGTGCTCAGAAATGGTGTTGTCACTGCCTCTGTGATCATTAGTGTGGACAGATGAGGTCAGGCAGGGTGTGAAAACCTTCCTCTCACACTCTTCAATGGGCCCAAAAGGAGAATACTCATCACCATGGCTCCAGAGCAGTTTAAACAGACTCCACAAAGAACAGGCTAAGTCCTCATGTGCCTTGGCCTCACAGGCCACAGAGAGAGAAATGAAGGCTAATAACTACCCAACATTCCTCCCAAGTTTGGAGAAGAATAAAATAAGCCACAGAATGGAGAACACTTACAGAGGAGAAAACTTAATGAGTCTGACTAGAATGGTATAAACTACAGGAAAATTCAAATAAGGCTTTCACTGTTCTTGAAAAAACTGTCATGGAGGAAACAAAAACGACCCAAATAACAATCCCCAAGTTTCTCCTTTGCTGTCACAGATGCAGATAAGGAATTGTACTTCTGCATGATAAACATATTCACTCTCAAACTTGCAATAAAAGAGCCCATCAAAACACGTTCCTAAAAAACACTTCCAGTGTCTGTTCTGCACAGTTTATCAAATGCTGGCTGAAGTCCACTGAGTTTTATTGGAAATAAATTCCATAAATCAATTTTCCCAATGAATTCTAGCACTTCTCTCACTGTACAGTATCTCGTATTCCTGACTCAGATGGCAGTTTTCAGGAGCACAGGATCTTTAACTGAGCTTTACAATTCAACACTATCCACTTCGTCTTCAGTGACTATCTTAATGTGATCTTGATAATGTCCTAATGCCTATAAATAATATTTCATGATATGACAAGTAACATAGTGTTCAGTCAAATCAGTACAGATTGTGGATTGATTCTCCAAACACAACTGCACAGCACATAATACTACATGAGAAAAATCTTGTGTCCATCATGATACCATATGAAATTTTAGAAATTTATCCAAATAAATGTACCAATTAAAAAAGTAAACATGCTTCCAAATTATCTACAGTAATATCATCAGGGAAAATCATTCACATATCATTCTTCATAGCATTAAGGTTATTTTCAGAATATGCTAAAGCCTGGCTTTATCATCACCAAGAAGCCCAATGCTCTCACATTCTCAGCATGGCAAGTGTAATCACTGAAAATATCCTCAAAGAATCAGCACCAGAGAGTGGAAACTAAAACAAGGTCCCAGATTACAAAGTTGTAAAAATGTGTGTGTCCAGGAAAGCCATGAAAGAATGCTGACCCACCATGACAACACTTTCCATCCCAAGGACACATGTGACCTGAGAGAAACCAAGGGTGAAATCACAGCACACAGGCTGGTAGGAACAATGAGGTGGTAAATGCCATGGCAACATCAAAGGATGCTGGGCAGGGAAGGAGGCATTCCAGCGCAGGACACTGGCCCTGGAGAAGGCAGCCATGACCTCTCTTTACCTCTGCGTTTGCTGTGCATTTTATGTAGGTGCACTTGCTTGCTCAGGAGATCAGGACGCTACAACCAGCAGCAGCTGGCTTTGAGAAGGAAGTGATTAATGACCAGAAGAGTGAGGAGAGACTTCTAATGCATGTGGATGCAGCACAGAACCCCTGAGGACAGAGCCCCTAAGTAAGGACTCTATGCACATCAGCAACATGACACACATCTATCTATCTGACTGATGCCTCTTGACAGTGAAACCTTCTGATCTTCTTCAGAGCAGTCGTGTATGCTAAATACTCCTCACCATCAGCATCACCCCATTCCACACAGGAAGGCTGAGCAGAGAGACTAAGCCCCTTGCACAAGGTCCCACATCCAGTCAGTTCAACAGAAAGGCATATAAAAATAAGAATTATTACCTTATGATCTAATGTTTAACCAATGGTTACTGTATCATTAACTAATGAAGGAAGATATAGCAATTTTATATATCTTTGTGTTAAAATGATTAAAACTAAAAGGCTCAAAAGGTTAGCCCATAAGTCACCTAGGAATTTTGTGAACTAGAATACTATTCTCTGTTATAGATAACCCAAGGTGTGAGGAACCTAAATTTAGATCTAATCATAAATGTTATAAATCCATTCTTTTTCTATTCTATAGTGATCCACATTGCAAAAGAAGCCTTTAAGATGCACTGGTGGTGGGATCCCTGGGTGGCGCAGCGGTGTGGCGCCTGCCTTTGGCCCAGGGCGCGATCCTGGAGCCCCGGGATCGAATCCCACGTCGGGTTCCCAGTGCATGGAGCCTGCTTCTCCCTCTGCCTATGTCTCTGCCTCTCTCTCTCTCTCTCTCTGTGTGACTATCATAAATAAATAAAAATTTTAAAAAAATTAAAAAAAATTTAAGATGCACTGGTGGTATTTTTAAAGTACAAGACTAATAGTATTCTTAAATTACAAGATTAATGGCAACTAGTATTTACATATAAGATGTTCTCACCCAAAGGTTCTGTTGAGTTAGTACTTACCCATTTTTGGAGGGGGGTTTAGACCGGTCCATAAAAACTGGCGTCACACCACACAAATCTAAGGTTGACAATGTGGCTAGCTGTGGCCAGTTTCTGCCATACCATATAATTGTCACTGATGAATCATTTATCAAAAGGTCAATGTGCTGCATGATGTATTCTTTTCCATTTTTTTCTTTCAATATAATTACCCAACCTAAACCAGATATTCTGGAGAAAGAAAAACTAAAAATGTTTGTCTTGCTGCAGGAAAAAAAAAAGTGCTAAGGTCAATTTCACACATCATCTCTAAAGTATCTAGTTCCTGAAAAGCCAAAGTTGAAGTTCTTAGAAAGTACCTGGCACAAATTTTCAGTTCATCAATGATCCTCTCTTTAGACTTTTTCTCCTCATCTAAAAATCACTGAACATTTACCATGTTCTCAGAAGTGGCAAAACACAGACAAGGCAAAGTTCTGCCCAGAAGCAAGGATGCTTTGGATGCTGTCGCTTTATGACAGCAGATTACTAGTTATTTCTGCTTTTGATAAAAACTTCAGACCATTTCTATGGTATATGGAAATACTACATAGCTAATAAGATGCACAGAAACATATGAATATCTCAAGAGACAGTCCCTCACAGTATAAATTGTACCTATGTCCTTATACACACAATACCCTGAGCTTACACCATCATTCTTTTTAAAGTGACATGCATATAAATGTTAAATAGTACCCGCAAGTAACCACGATACCCACTGATCAAGAGGATGCTGCGTACCTGAGGGCCTCTTTGGTTTTAACTGGAAGGCCTGTGTAAGGGTTGACAGGTTTGAGAACCCGCGCTAGCGCTGCTTTTACAGATGCTCTTTGCTTTGTAATATATTCTTTCTTCCAATATCCAGCTTCTTTATCCTCAACCGACAGTAAGTTCATAGATACAGGGGTCTTCTCTGCTGAATTAACTTGCCAATTAGATATTTTAGGTGAAAAGGCAGTTGAATAGATTCTGATCCAAATAAAACTGGGGGAGAAGAGGAACTATGTTAACTATGAGACACTGTCATATACCTGCAGTAGCAATATGTTACCGTAGAGATGCACAATCGTTTGGAAATAGTCCTAGTCCATGAATAAATCAAACGTTTACAGTTGCTCATGTGTTAAAGTGAACTGCAGTTTGAGGTTAAGTGTTTCAGATTCACCAACCCCAGAAACACATACTAAAAGGAAAAGCTTGTTTCCCAGGGTCAAGTTAAAATGAGTGATCTCACGGTATTTGGCATCATCCAAACCACTGCTGTCCTAAAGCAATAATGGAATAAGAGATTACAGAAAAATAACAAGAAATATACAAGGATACTCCTACTGTGTTATCTTAGGTAGATATATTTTTTAAAGGTCGGAAAGGGGGCAGCCCAGGTGGCTCAGTGGTTTGGCGCCTGCCTTCGGCCCAGGGTGTGATCCTGGAGACCCAGGATCGAGTCCCATGTCAGGCTCCTTGCGTGGAGCCTGCTTCTCCCTCTGCCTGTGTCTCTGCCTCCCTCTCTGTGTGTGTCTCTCTCATGAACAAATAAAGAAAATCTTTAAAAAAATAAAAATAAAAAAAATAAAGGTCGGAAAGGAACCATATGTACATACACACAGAGAGAAATGTCAGCAGAGCCACCAGCAACCCCCCAGTGCCACCATGGCAACTGCACCATACAACTACTCTTACATCTTTAAATATATTATTATTGGGGACATGGGAGTAGGAAAATCTTACTTACTTCATCAATTTACAGAAAAAAAATTTATGGCTGATTGTCCTCACACAATTGGTGTTGAATTTGGTACAAGAATAATTGAAGTTAGTGGCCAAAAAATCAAACTGCAGATTTGGGATACAGCAGGACAGGAGAGGCTTAGGGCTGTTACACGAAGCTACTACAGAGGAGCTGCGGGAGCGCTTATGGTGTATGATATCACTAGAAGAAGTACGTATAACCACTTAAGCAGTTGGTTGACAGACGCAAGGAATCTCACGAATCCAAATACGGTAATAATTCTCATAGGAAATAAAGCAGATTTGGAGGCACAGAGAGATGTCACATATGAAGAAGCCAAACAGTTTGCTGAAGAAAATGGCTTATTGTTCCTTGAAGCAAGTGCGAAAACGGGGGGAGAATGTAGAAGATGCTTTCCTGGAGGCTGCCAAGAAAATCTATCAGAACATTCAGGACGGAAGCCTGGATCTGAATGTCGCCGAGTCTGGCGTACAACACAAACCTTCAGCCCCACAGGGAGGCCGGCTAACCAGCGAACCCCAACCCCAGAGAGAAGGCTGTGGCTGCTAGTGACCTCTTTGCCGTCGCTCCCATTTGACCTTTCACCTCTGTCTGTTGGAAGCAGTTCTTTTTACTGCCTCATCTTCTGTACATCTTACTGGGTTTAATTAAAAAAAAAGAAAAAGAAAAAAAACAACTCTGTTGTAAAAACAGTTTAACACAATACTAAACTGCTAAACAACTAGATGTAATCAGGTTATCAAAGGCAAGTAGAGTAATAAATCTCTCCTGCATGGTAAAAAAAAAAAAAAAGAAAAAAGAAAAGAAATGTCAGCAGAATGGAATTGAATGTTTTTTATTTCTATGTTTAAATTTTTCCACAAGGACATGTAATGCTTGCACAAAGAGAGGAATATGCTCAATGAATGAAAAAAATAACAACAGTGTTTTCTGAGCACTGTGGTAAGCATTATTTGAGCATTTGGTAAACCGCAACTACTTTAATCATCAACAAATCCATGAAGTAGCCACTATCATTGTCCCCACTGGACAATGTAATGAGGCCCCAATGTGAAGTTGTGGCCCAGATGGGTCTGTGGATGCTGAGGAAACGGAAGACCCAGGATTGGACCCTCACAGCCTCAACCAGAACTCACACATCCATCCCCTGTGCTTCTCAGCCTCTTCAGGGACAAAGAGATGAACTTGAAGAAACCAAGTAATTCGCCTAAATTCAGAGAGCCCATCAGCCGCAAGGTTGAATTTAAATTCAGCCCCAAGGCAGAGCCTGTGCTCCTCCCGCCCATCACACTGAGAGGCCCAGGAGAAGCCATGGGAGCAGCAGCAGCTGGCAGGGGCCCAAGGGAGCCCAAGATACCTCTCTCCGAGCCAATGCTCTCCTCCAGGGAAAGAAGCAAACTTCTCTTTGGGGGAACTGAGCCATGGCTAAAGTCCATTTCCAACAGCAAAAAGTGAGCTTTACATAAATAAATGTAATAATCTGCTCATTTGTGTCTCTACCTGTTTAGTTCAGCATGGGATGACGTGGCCAGTGGCCAAAAGGCAGCAAGGAGAAGGCAATGCCCACAGAAGAGGATGGCCCCGCACTGCCTGAGATCCGCTGGAGATGCCACGCACTCTGGGGGCCAGCCAGTCACCACCACGACAGCAAGGTGCACTCGGTGGACACTCGATCTGCAGACGTGTCTCCCTGATCCAGGCAGTGCACGCACTTCCCAACACACTCACACGGAATCAGACCCCCGCTGACATCCTTAGATAGCATGCATTTTCAAATCATATCTCACCCCACAGAATCATTTCACACCAAGCTTTCTGCCGTAAGGTGTTTATTTTCTCAGTTCAGAAATTTCTGGACTTTCAGATGTGAGCTAAGAGTATAAAATGATGATTACTTGAGTACAACTAGGTAAATCTGAAACTGTTTCACCAAAATCTCTTGAGTAGGCATTTTTAAAAACTCCCTTTACATAAAAGCTTGTTCACATCTCCTTCAAATTTATTCTACTCATCATTTTACTCCACATAAGTGTTCCCAAATTTCTCACATTGGCGCCACGTGACCTAAAGCTGACTCGATTCTTGTCCATGAGCCAGCATTCCTGAATTACAAAAGAGGAAATGGGATGGAAGGAGCGGAGCCCGAACCCCACACACCTTCAGTTACAACTACACCCAACACCTGTATGAAGAACCACTTTCAACTCATTGGCTTACTGTATTTACTGTAAGTGAAGCTAAACAGAACATTTTACAGAATAGACTGTGCAGATTGTTCCACCTGATACTTGATAAAATACAAATGTCAAGTATAAGATGCATTTAACAAGTACTCAAAACCCAAACACATTCATTTCTGATCACCCAACGCCTCATCCTGTTAAAAAACAAAGGTGATTTTGAGGACAAGAGCGTATTTAGCTACTCTACCAGTCAGGCACAGAAAAACTTCAGTCAAACAAGTTGTTGACAAAATGGGGCCAATTTAATATTCTGATAAACAGTGTTTCCCAGAGTGCTGGAAAATAAACACCCCACATGATGATCCAGATCCAGCCTGACCCACGCTTCCCCGTTACCTCCACGCAGGTGGAGCCCGGTGCTCTTGCTGAGGGATGCGATGTGCGCAGCAAGGAGGCAGCCCCCGCTGATGTAAGGAGGGCTTCAGGGAGACCCCTACCCTCCATACAGGCCTCCCTATTAGTCATCAGTATGACTGGCTACAATAGGTACTCCTGCCCTCTCCAGAAGTAATGCTTAAAACACTCCCCCAAAACATTTATTGTTTACCCATCCAATCATTAAATATGCCCTTTTTGAAGTCTAGCTATAAAATCAGACTATGACTCTTACAAAGAAAATTCAGCATATGCAGGGGCGCATGGGTGGCTCAGTCAGTTGAGTGCCAGACTCTTGATTTTGGCTCAGGTCACAGTCTTGGGGGAGTGAGATTTAACCCCTTGTCAAGCTCCATGCTTAAGGTGGAGCCTGCTTGAAATTCTTGCCTTCTCCCCCCGCCCCCTGGCTCAGGCTTGTGCATGCATTCGCTCTCTAAATAAAAATATTTTTAAAAATAAAAAATAAAATAAAATTCAACAGATGCAATTAAGATATTTCCTATAACAAGAAAACAAACATAAGGGTAATTTCATCAGAAGCTCAGATTTTTAAGGGACAACTCCCAAGAAATGTGGGATAGGCACATAATTCATAATTAAAGTACAAAAGGAAGATTACTAGAGGTATAGCCCCAAATCCACTGGAGGGCTCAGTGCCTATACCACCTGAGCCTGTGAAAGTCAGTCGGGAAAGGTGATATTAAGAGAAACTAAGCAATTTATAAGTTATTGGCTTATGGAGTAATTGGAGTTCTATCCTTAAAGTAAGAACCCTCCAAAAAGCTATATTTTGGGATATTTAAATGACCTCCTTCATGAACAATGCCTTGCTACACTTTGCTTTAGTGAATGTCTTCATCTCTTATTAAGAGTCATTAAGAAAGAGACACAAAAACTGCTCTGCGTCCATTCTAGAATGACTGTCAAGGGCACACTTCTTTCCTTTGAACCCACACTAAACCCACTTGTGTGCCTACTGACACAGAGATGTATTCTTCCGTACATGAGACAACAGCTACATCAATAACAAGTTCGATCTTTTTCAGTTCATGCAAAGGTATTCCTTTTTTTTTAAGCATATAAATACAAATCACTGAAAATGTCAATTGACCACTTAAAGCATTAGACATATTACATCTGTGCCTAAAAACACTTTCAAAATTAATTCTCCTAAATATTAAAAATGGTTAAAATTGTCTTACTAGTTTTCATGACTTCCATCAAAATGCTATCAAAAGACGACAGAGAGATCTGGTTTTCTCCTTACTTGTCATTGGCCAGATGGTAAAAGCGCCTATTCACACATCCAGTACACAGCAGGGTCACAGCATCCAGGTAGGAAAAGATCTTCAGCAAGATTTCTGAAGGCATACTGAGAGAGGGGAAGAATCAAGCATTTGAGCTACAAGTTAACCAGAAAACCACCGGCTGTTCATCTCCAGACAGAAGGTGAGCAGCACCCTTCCTGTACGAGAGGCAAACTGACCCTTATCTTACACTGGTTTCTCAACTGAAATGTCCTGGCTACCACAATCCTCATGACCTGAACAAATCCAGAGACTCAAGGGTACAGGGAGCTAACTTCCTTGGCATGTTACTTATATGCACACACAATGGATCAAGAGACAGGATTTCCTTACTCCCTCATGAAAGTATGCATTATTCTTTGGTGAGATAAAAGGAAATAAGAGAAAAAGAATGCATTCTTAGCTATTAATAAAAAATAATAATAATAAACCACAGAATCCTCATCCTCCTCAAAAAAACAAAGGAACTGGAATAGGAAATACCCACTTATTTTCCACCTACCCTATACCACCCTCATATACTCTCTTCTTCCTCACACTTAAGACCTTCCTCTATGTTTTAAGAGACTCCAAGCCCTGTAAGATTTTCTGAACTCCCTTTTCCCTTTTCATTTATAACCTAAATGAATGACATTGAGCTGCATTCTCTGAGGCTGAAAGAAAGCAAGCCAGAGAAGACTGTCACGGGGAGAGGGGAGGGGCCAGGGGATGAGGAACCTAGGCAGTAAAATCCTTTGGCCAATTTAAAATGGCTTGCCCCTAATCTCTCCACTTGTGATTTCAACTATTTCAAATTTTTTAATTATGATGAAAATCAAGTTATTAAATGTGTCATAGGGAAATAATCAGTCCTAAGATTCTGATAATACTGAGAAAGAATGATGTGGACTCCCTCATAGAAAAGATGAAGAATACAAGACAGACCAGACCCATGTCACTAGTCACTACCCCAACTCAAAAGCTTCAGAGATATTCGACCAGAGACTCCCTGATGGTTTAAACAAGCAGTTTGGCTTGGGGTTAATTAAATCCCTCCCACCAAATGAAATTCCTTACACTCAGAGTCAATAAATCAGATGCTTTTAGTGACAAAAGGTTGCTAATGCATAGATGGCAAAGTTGCAAGAAAACACATTTTGTGACCATTTGGATGACCTGCTGCACATAGTTTTCATATTTTGATTCAACTATTTCACAAAAACTCATAGTTATTATTTTTTAAATAATTATAATCCAAAAAAATGTAGAGCTGGGCTTAAAGAAAACATTCCAGAGTGGTATCTGGCAAATCCTATCCGGGGAGAATTATTGAGTTGGACTAAAATCCTACTCAAAGGCCCTTAGAGACTAACCCCCACCCCCTACCCAGCAGACTAACATAATGGGGTGGGGGCTTTCCCTGTACTTCTAGCAAAAGCAGAAAACCCCCACTCCATAGTTAGAATAGTAGAGAGCAAAGACAGTCTTCATTATGGTTCATAAGGTTTCCACTGGGTCACCTTGTGCTGGATTCTAATCATTTTATACCACAGCAGGTGAAGGGGGGATTGGGGGGAGGAAGAAAGTGAGAGAGAGGCAGGACAATCCAAGAAGCTCCAAGTGTCAGAGCACAGTATCTAGTACAGAGAAGGTCCTCGAATGTTTAATGGATGGATGAACCAATCGAGTATTTGTTCTAGTTCCTACATCACATTATTGGATGACAGATCATATTCACAGAGTATAGGGTTTAAAGCTTAAATTGCTAACTTTTTTTTTTTTTTTTTTGGTTTTCATTTCTTTTAGAGAATACACTGAAAGTATGTACTCTGTGAGCTGAGTTATAGTGTCAAAGCCCAAAACTTGAAAATAAGGAACTTATGTTTGAATCTGAATTTTGCAATGTGCAGACTCTGTGAGCCCTACTCTCCCCACCGTACATGTCTACCGGAACGCCATGCTTTCAGGGCTTCACACAATGCTCAGCACAGGGTTGGGTCCCACGAGTGTCAGTGCACTACAAATCCATGGGCATCTCAGCACCGATTTCAAATAATTAGTTCAAAGAAAGGATTCTACAGATCCTGTTGCTGAGGTCACAGTGCAGAACCTTGCCATGGCACAAGGGGCTCCCAAAGCATTGAACACTAAAAAATCCAGAGACCTCTGGAGCTTTTTCATCTTCTTTCCACTGTTTCAAGGGTCTTTATCAACTAGAAAGTGAATAATTTTTAAGAATTTTTTTTAAGGAGGAAAATTGACTTGTCACTTTTAGAAGTTCACTTCATAAACCTAGTCTAATAATGACAGTGGTGACAGGCTGATGACTCACAGCAAACTCTCCATGTTGTACTTTCTTCCTACGCAATTCTATTCTCGGCTAAGAACAGCAGCTTGCTATGTACAGCACTGAAACTTTCTCTACAAGCTCCACCCCTGGGGCCTCCAGAAGAGCACCAACTACTGTGACTCACCTTTCCAGAGATGCAGAATGGTCAGCAGACGGCTGCTTGTAGTGCCTTCCTCGCCTAGCGCACTGCTTCAGGGCGGCAGTGCCTGCATAACTGGTGCCCGGTCTCTTCCTGAAAGTAAGCACAGAAAAGTGAAATCATGACAGGCGAACTGTCCAGTTCCCTCTACAAAACTGTAGAGGATTCATAAACTCCAAGAATGACTCCTTGTAAAATTGCATCATGGGAAGGAAGGAAGGAAGGAAGGAAGGAAGGAAGGAAGGAAGGAAGGAAAAAGGAAGGAAGGAAGGAAGGAAGGAAGGAAGGAAGGAAGGAAGGAAGGAAGGAAGGAAGGGCGCAGGCAAGAGACTGTGAAATATTCCATGTCCTGAGTCCATAAACCTGGTAACTGGGCTTACTCTGATATGTTTTAAACATAAAATTCGTCACTTCTGGCCTGTTGACTAAGATCAAGTAAACAAGATTAAATATTTGCTTTTGTAGGCTTTCAGCATATCAAAGACATTAAATAAGACTTATTTAATGGAATAAAAGGATAAACATAAAACGTATCACCTGGCCAGCTTCAACAATACCATAGCAGAAACCTAATGAAAACAGCATCAATCAGGTAAGAAAACCTTTAGATTTGCAAACCAGAACTGCCCACACAATCTACAACTTTGCTGGTCTTAAGGGATGATGAATCCAACCCTAGCTCTGGCAATCACAGCTGCAGAAATACCAAATACTCATCCTCAATTTTTTTTTCACATTTTAACTATCTCAGATTCAATGGAATATATTTTAACTGGCCATCTTTTTTTTTTTTTCATTTTAGCAGTACAAAAAAAATTGTAACTCTTACAATCAATGGCTTTTAAGGTTCAATGTAGTAAGGTGTATTTTATGCAGTTTTCAGAAGTTCCTATTTTTTTATTAAAATCACCCTCAAAACCAGCACTGCTCCACAGAAGTTTGATAAGGGATCTGAAACCCCAGTAAGGCATGGAGCCCAAAACCCTCATTTTCTAGGCAGCAGCCCACAAACAGAGCTACTGGTGGATATGCTACTTCTCTTGGAAAGGTCTGGAAGCTTCTTCTTTACCATGTACACACACACACACACACACACACACCAAACTACTGACCCATCTCCCACCCAGCATGTGACTAAAATCTAGAGTATCCATTCCATACATCCAGTTCACCAGTATGTCATTGCTCTGAGGATGTACTTTGTTCACCAAGAGTTTAGCACCCAAACACGGCCTGCCCCTAGAAGGCATGGGACTGAATCACCCACAACCCAGCACAGCCTGAAACCCACGGTGGAACCATGCGCCCCATGAAGTGCATATCCACAAGCACTCAAATTGCCTGATGACTCCCCAGGGGCTTCTGAGCATCCAGAGAATGTCTGTCCCCCCTTTATAGGTTTTTCTCTTTAGAAACATCATAATGAAGAGCCCATGATAAGCCCTCGATAAACACTGGCTAGCATCTGCATGCTGGCACTGTTGTCAACACAGGAGAGGGGGAACACAGGAAACCTTTCTAGATCCTGGAGGGTAACAAATTCGCCGAGGTAAAAACGCTGGCTGCCCATGCTTCTCCATTCCAGCTTCAGCAGAAGACAGTCAATGTGCCTTTTGTCTTACCTCCTAGCCAGAGAGTCCCTGGGAACGCAAAGAAGCTGGACACAACCAGTGGTTTGCAATCTGTGTGTTCCAGAACAGGAAGTGGAGGGAGAGGGGCAGAAGAGGCCCTACTCTGGAAAGTTCTGTAACGCTCCCACCCCTTATTTCAGAGAATTCCACCTATGCAGTAGATCTTTGTATTTCTGTTGAAAGTATTATTTAAGCAAAGATTTCCACAAGAGAAAATCTTCAACTCCACTGACCTGGCTCTAACACAGTAATAAGAAGTAAAATACAATTTCCTAATTGTATTAGTGTCCTAGGGCTCTCTTAACAAACTGACTTAAACTAGGTAGCTAAGAACAACAGAAATGTATTGTCTCAGAGTCCTAGAGGCCACAAGTCCAAAGTCAAGGTGTTGGGACAGCCATGCTCCCTCCACAAAGTCTCTACGGAAGAACCCTTCCTTGCCTCTTCCAGTTTCTGGTGGTTGCTGACAATCCTTGCTTTTCCTTAGCTTGTGGCAACTAAGATGACTAACTCTTATCTCTGCCCCATCTTTGCCCAGCCATCTTCCTGGTGTGTGTCTTCATCTCTTCTTCTAAGGACACCAGTCACATTTGATTTAGGATCCACCCTAACCAAGTGTGACCTCATTGTAACTACATCTACAAACACCCTATTTTCAAATAAAATCACACCCTAAGCTTCTGAGTAGACATGAATGGGGGGGGGGCACCATTTAACACAATTGTTAAACAATGTACATTTTTAAATGATTTAAGAGCACTCCTTATTTTAACTGGTTTACTTGTTGTAAATTCTATACCAACCTGTATTACATACTCAAAGATCAAATATCTTTAGTTGATAGAGGTTTCTAACATATAAGTTTTAAGTAAAAGGCATTTCTATAACTCCTCCATCAAATCCACTGTCTGCCTGGATTTTCCATACAGTGACCCTTAGACCCCTGCCAGTATGAATGGTCATGCTAAGAACTCCCAGAGTCTGTATTACACATTGTATGAAGACTGAGGAAGGCTTCTTTAACTTAAATGAATACTGCTGGGGTCACTCAAATATAAATTTGTTTAAAAGCATTAGTAAATTGACAACAGCTTTTTGCCATACATGTTTCCGCAATCAAAACTTGTCAAAAGAAATAAAATCTATTACCCTAAGTCCTTTCCACAGGAGTCGAAGAAAAGTAAATTAATACACTGTATCGATCAGTTTCAATCTAGCAAACTGGCAAAGACCACATAAAGAACATCTCATTCACTGCTGGGAGCATAAATTGGTATAAACAGCAAGGAAAGCCAAATCTGGCAGTGTTTATCAAGATCCTTAAAAGGCACATGTATTTTTTTTTAAGCCAGGAATTTCACTTGTACAAATATATCCCAAAGCAAGAAAATGAGCCCAAAAATGTTGCTGGAGAAAGTCCATCTCAGACTTGCCTACACTGACAAACTTCCAGAGTCGGTACAGGGATTGGTTCAACAGTGTGGCTACATACAGTGAACAATGCTCAGCCAATTAAAATGGACATTTTCAGCACAGAAAAAAGTGTCTGAGATAGAAACAAGCTCATTAACGTCTTTGTGTCTGCATGGCTCATGCCTCCATCTCCTTCAGGTATTCATGCAAATGTCACCAACTCACTGACAATTCCTTTGGCCATGTTCTCTAAAACTCCAATCCATACTACCCACACACACTCTAGGCCCTCTCCTTATTTCTCTCCTCAGCACATATCACCATCCTTCACTACATACACATCTTATCTCCTCTGCTTGCTATCACTGGAATTATAAGCTCCACACTGGCAGGTCTTTTGCATGAGTTTTGTTCACCCACAACATGCCTGGCATAGACAGGCAATTGATAAACACCTGCTAAATTAATAACCTATGAATTGAAAAAATCAGGTTATATCAAGATATATCACATAATATTTTTTAATTTGTCCCCTACGAGAAGAAGTAAACACACACAAAGAAAGAAGGTATGGGAAAAAAGACCATATACATTTTTGTATGTATGCAAAAAGCTATGAGGTTTTTGGGTGGTGGCTGTTTTTAAATGGGGGCTGGAGAGCTGAAAGGACAGAACTCCATGTGTTTTCTATTATTTCTTAATATATTGAATATGGAATGAACTGTGGGATTTTTGTTGTTTTAATTTCAAAACTGAAAATCCCATACACAAGGTTTGGATCCACAGTTTGATAGCACAATCCTTTCTTTAGGCAGGTGCAGTGGAGTGCCAGCTGCTCTGAAATCTGGGGGCACAGCCTGCAGAGAGCTCAAAAGTTCTTTGAAGTCTCTTACTTTATCTTAAAAATTAATACAGGGATCCCTGGGTGGCGCAGCGGTTTGGCGCCTGCCTTTGGCCCAGGGCACGATCCTGGAGACCCAGGATCGAATCCCACGTCGGGCTCCCGGTGCATGGAGCCTGCTTCTCCCTCTGCCTGTGTCTCTGCCTCTCTCTCTCTCTCTCTCTCTCTCTCTCTGACTATCATAAATAAATAAAAATTTAAAAAAATTAATACAAATGATGCACTTTACTGGATAATTTGTCGGTGGCTGTGCTAATATAACAAATGGATTATATTACCTACAGTTGAACTACTTAACATTTTTCCCCAAAGCCACTGCATTAATTTTACATCGCAGGAGAATGCCCCATGCATTACCTGCCCACTGGCACCTGTTTGAGAAATACAGCCTATCTGTTGCTGTTCTGCTTTTCCATAACTAAAATAGATTTCATATGTCCATATTTGACAAATCAAAGATTACCGAAGTTCTAACAAGGCAATCACAGGGATTCATTTGAGGTCCCAAGACAGAGGCCCAGAGCCCAAGAGACTCATCTCCTGACTGTTCTTCCAGAGCTCTTCTCACCGTATTATATTCTATATCCTATTAGTATGGGTTTCGGTATATTGAAAGTACATTTCTATTTCTCCATAAAATAAACCAACTGCATATTTTCAAGGGCCACACAATTAACAAATCAGTAAGTTGGGGATCCCCGGGTGGCACAGCGGTTTGGCGCCTGCCTTTGGCCCAGGGCGCGATCCTGGAGACCCGGGATCGAATCCCACATCAGGCTCCCGGTGCATGGAGCCTGCTTCTCCCTCTGCCTGTGTCTCTGCCTCTCTCTCTCTCTCTCTCTCTCTCTCTCTCTCTGTGACTATCATAAATAAATAAAAATTTAAAAAAATCAAATCAGTAAGTTGCATGCATGTCCTCATGTAGATTTATGGGTCTACAAAATTAAGCGCATACTTAGCTGACATAATTAGTAAGATGACATTCTGTTTGAAAACAATGTTTTCGAGTAATACATTTTGCCTGATAACCTTGAATATATTCAATATTTTTTAAGTTTACCTTAAAAAATTATCTTCTGAGCCTGATTTTTGATATATGATAAACCAAAGAAATTAAATCAAGTCAAAATTAAGCCAACCTAATATGCTGCCATTTTTCTCAGTTCATGTATTTACACATATTCACATCTTTCATTAAAAAGGGAACCATGGATTCCTTATTAAAATCTAATTTTTCTGTAGTGAAACAATAAAAATCACCACCCACTTAGACCATCTGCAATCATTTTTAGCGGCTTATTTGCCTTCCCATAAAGAATGCAGACCTCACCAAATCACAAGGTGACAAGCAGGCTCCTTTGCCAGACACTCTAAGTACGTCATCACCAGGATGTTCACTCAACTTACAAAGTAATAGAAGATTCATCACATAAAAATCATTCTGCTCCCCACTGACAGAGCTCTATATATAAAGACTAATTTTAGTGTTAGTGGCAAATTGATCTAAAGTTCAGACCTCAAATTTAAATGCTCCTACAGAAGTTCTGAAGGCATTGTCACCATTTTAGTTGTCACAAGTCCTGCGGTATATCCAGCACTGCAGCTACACTCAAGAACCAACTACTGCCATAATACAAAGGTGCAGAGCACCACTTCCAAAACCAACATGACGGGGTTATGGACCCTTGGATGAACATGGGACATAGTCCTGGAGATTCGGGAAAACAAAATTCAAGTTGTCGATTGTTAAATAACAATTGTTTTTCCTACATAAACACAGACATTCGGTTTATTAGAAGGCATGATACACATGAGTTTTTGTATCTTACAAATCACAAGGACGTGCAAGCAAAGAGAATCATCAAGGTTGCAAACTGCTCTTCATACTGTCGCTCCACCTGGCACACTAACCGAGATGGCGGCTGTAAAGTTAGGGACCACTCACCATAAGGAACTATGACAGCACCTCTGACAAACTGGATCATTCACTCTGAAATCAACCAACCTTTGGAGTTAAGCTAAAGAGCCTTCTGGATTATAGCTGCAGCATCCTGCTTCTTGCCCCTTCCCCATCTCCTCCAAGTTGCCTTCTCTCACTTAACAAGAGGACCACCCTTCAGCCGCAAGGTGCCCAAGGAAGAGAGGCAGAAGGGGATCAGGGGCCTGAACACCAAGGAGTGGCTATCAATACGCATCCCTTCAGGGTTTGCCTAGCAGACCTATGGGGCTTCTGGGTGGCTCAGTTGCTAAGCAGTGGACTGCTGATTTCAGCTTCCACCATGATCTCAGGGTTGTGAGATGAAGTCTCACAGTGGAGCCTGCTTAAGATTCTCTCTCTCCCTATTCCTCTGCCCTCCCCATCTCTCCCTCCCCCCCCCCCCCGCAAACTCCATGGAAGGAAGAAAAGAAAGAGTAAAAAGAAACCAAACGAAAGGCACTGGAGACCCCGAAATCCGAAATTCAGAAAGCTCTGCCCCAGGAAAACAAACTCCCAGACCAACCCGCCCACCAGAATTATCTGCTTAGAGGTTGTGTCCTCCATACAGGAACCATGGGCGGGAGAGAAAATCGGTAACCTTTTGATGAGTAGATTCCAGAGCCTAATAAAAAGAACGAAAGGTGATTTCCGGCCCCAGAAGAGACAAGCTACTTTAGGGATGAGCTCTGAACGGGTGCCCTTGTGGCGACCCGCAGGTGCAGACCAGGGATGTGCACCTGCCCTCGCAGGTGGAGCGCATCCCGCAGGAGGCGCTGCTCCAGGGCTCCCAGCTCCCCACAGCGCCTACAACTGAATAAAGGGAAGGAGGAAGCCTGTTCCCCGGGGGGAGCTAGGCTACTTGTATCAGGACTTGGGGTCTCCGCAAGTTTCCAAGTTGAGGGGACGTCCGCCCGCGGTTCTCTGGACCTCTCCTGCACTAAGAACAGCCGAGAGTGAAGTTAGAGGGGGAAAGGTGCCGGGTACCGCCCCGCCCCGCCCCGCGGCCCCCCGACAGTCACCTGAACCCCGCGGGCCCGGGGGCCTCCCCGGCCAGCCCCGGGGCCGCGCCGACGCCGCCCGGCGGCCAATGCAGCGCCTGGAGGCCGCGCCAGTGCTGCAGCAGGAGTCGGCCGCGTCCCGTCGCCATGGAGACCCGGCGGAGCGCCCAAGGCGGAGCGACCACGGAGGCAGGAGCGCGCCGCCCCACGCCACGCCCACTCGACGCCGGCGCGCGTGCGCAGAGGCGGGACGGAGGCCGACCCGCCCTTCCGCCGGCTCGAGGAGCGGTTCTGGAAACTTCCGGGCCCTGCTTCGTCCCACGCCCCGCGGCCTGATGCCGAGGTCGCCGCGTGGCAAGCGGGCCGCTGAGTTTCGGTCCCTGGTGGGGGCACTGCAGCAACCTCGTCTCTCCCCAGCTGCTGGCTTTGGGGAAGTTTGTGCTGCCTGCCGTGTGGTGGCCTTGGGAAGAAACTGAAACGCACAGGCTACATCATTTCCCCACAAGCAACAGCAGAGCCATAGTCAGACTGAGAATTTCGCAGGTTACAGTCCTCTCAAAGGGCTGCAAGAACACCCAGTCCGTAATCGCTAATTTGACTGCCGCCCGTTGGGCGATCGCCTCGCCCACCCTGGCGCCAAATAGGTGGAGCGCATGCGCAAGGAACTCTGGAAGGTGGCGGAAAGGCCACGCGCTGTCTGGCCGCCTTGCACTGTGGGAGATGTAGTCCTGGTGCCTTTCCCGCTGCGGTAGCTCTGCGAGGAGTGAGGGCCTCGGACTACTGTTCCCAGGACTCCCCGAGGTTTCCCAGGTTACTTTGCAGAGGCATGGCGGGTAGTGTGTGAATGTCAATACGGCAGGTAATTAAATCACTTTAATTCTAGTAGAAAGAGCACAGAAGGGAAGAAGAGGTGGACACGGCTTCTTTCGGGAGCTAACTTTTTTGCCGAACAAGCCGTGCAGAATCACCGATGTGACTGTGTAGCGCTGAGTACACTCTGGCTGGGTGTGTATTGGGTAGTGAAGCTTTGCGGTTCCCCGCTGGCACCTTTGTAAAGCGGAGCGGTTTTCTGTGATCATGATTTGTACTTTCTTACGGGCTGCGCGGTGTGCGGAGAAGCTGTGCAGGTCGTCAGGGAAGCCGTTGTTTCCGCCACGCTTAGTGCTTAACAGAGCTTGCTTGAGGGCCGCGTCGGGTTTGAGCTGGGCTCTGCGAGAGCAAAAGAAAGCGGTACGACCTAAGAGTGTCCTTGGAGTCACCCAGAAAACCATCTGGACGCAGAGGCAGAGCCCCCAGAGGGCAGGAGACGACGGCAGCAAACAAGTGTCCGTGCACAGCCAGAGAGGGGAAACCGTCGTCTCAACGTCACAGAAAGGTAACGGGAGTGATCAGTCTATCAGCAAACGTGGCGAGAGCGAGCAGGGTCCCTTCGCACAAGTTCAGGGCTAAAGGTAGAAAAACGGTTCACGCAAATTAAAAGGTAGGACCGTTCAACACAGTTCAGAGTTTGAGACTGTAGACCCACAGTTTTCTTCACAGACTTGAACTCGGATTTCAAAGTTGCTTTTTAGGTGACTTTGTTGAGTTGTGGCGAGAAAATGTTTCCCAGCTTTTATTACAACTTAACCGTTGTTGAGTACTTGATAGTAAGTTAGTATACTTCACAGATGCGGTTTACCACAGTTGAGTTTCCTGTTGCCTCCCTCAAACATTAAAATTCTGTGTGTGAGGCACACTTCCCCAGTTTCACACAACGGAAAATTAAAGCCACGTCTTCTACTCTTAATTTCCTAGTACCCAGGTCAGTGCTCTTTAGAACAGCCGTTCACCAGTAGTTCTTGAGCTTCCATTTCCTCTGCGTACACTTGAGCAGATGCTAACGGGTGTGCCAGAGAGTTCCTGTACACAGACAGATGCACTTAATGAGGAGGAGGTAGGTACAGTGTGAAACAATGAAAGCATGGTAGTTTGCTGCAAAGAGTACCAGAGAGCACAAAATAGATACAGAGTAATTGGGTGGAATAAATAGAAGAAATACTATTGAGGCATAATCCTTAGGGACCCACTCAACGTAGGTCAGCCCAACACTGCTCTTGAATGACTGCCGCGCCCAGATGTTGAGTTAGACTCTTCACGCTACAGAATTAAAGGTGTTCAAAACCGTTTACCTCCAAGTGACACGGGAAGTGATAGAAAGAACATATGTAATACGGAAGGCACAATGTCTTTCTGTCAGGGAAAGTCAGGTTTTCACAGATGAGATGATGGATTTAACATTTATTGTTTATTTCTTCATTTCACGGTAATTTGTGGAAAGATAAGTAAAAAGGAAGCAAAGAGTTCAGACACCTTGATTTTACCATGCAGAGATGACTTTTGTTAACATTTTGCTCTATGTCATTTCAGTGCATATATTTTTTTTTTGGTGCATATATACTTTTTAACATTAACAAAAAAAAACTGTATCCTAGCAATTGTTTTGTAATCTGTTGAATATGTAAAATACATGATCATTCATTCATAATAGCCTGAACAGGGCTGTGAGGGATGATTAAAAGTTCAGCATGAATGAACAACCTGTATGCAGAGGGCAGAGGCAGAGACTGTCAAACAGCATGTGTCAGGTCGTCGCTCCAGCAATGGGGCTGCTTACGCTGCAGACGGGTCCTGCTGCAGAGTCCTGTCCTGATCTGGACCCCATTCAAAGGCGACAGCCTTCCTGGTGACTCAGCGAAGGAGTGGGAGCAGTATTCTCAAATGTGGAATATGCTGCCCACAGCGTCCAAAGGAACCTATCACACACCACACTAGGATATACAGGATGCAGTAGTTTCTTTTATTTGAGATGGAGCGTCTTAGCATGCCCCATGCAGTATACCCCTAAGGGTTTTGCTCATGTGGTTGGTGAGCTCTGGATCTGTTTTTTGGCCTCATCCCCCACATTTGGAGTACCTGTGTTTACCAAGCTTCCTGACACACATGCCACTTGTTACTTTGGGCTCTGACGAATATGATGGCATAAATAGAATGGACAAATGTGACGTCTTGCAAAATGTCCACAACAGCTTTGTCCAAATAAAACTTTTCGCAGAGACAGAGATGTTCTATACGTATGAGGTCTCTACATGTGGCTGTTCAGCACTTGAAATGTCGCTAGTGTGATTGAGGGACTGAGTGTTTAAGTTAACGTAACTTTAAAATAACACTCACATAGCCGTGTATGGTGTGTGGTTACTCTACAGGACAAAGTCCAGAAGGCTCAGGTCCCTAACAGTCACATTGTAACACATACCTAACAAATCCTAAGTGAGACTACATAGACGTTGTTGTCATTTTGTGTTCCAACAAGTGCTACCTGTGGGTAGCAGGTGCTTCGTATTCTAAGTTCATCCGATTATCAGCTCTGGCTGGCCAAGCAAATTCCTGTTCTGAATTCCATTCTGCCAGTGGAGGCAGCCTGGTGGGAAGGTGACTGGAAGAGTTGAGGCCTATGCTGATCCCTTGGACTACAGTTAACAAAGCAAACACTTCATCTGTGAACAGAATGTGACCGGCACTGCCAAATCTGTAACATGTTTTCACGCCGAGGGCCTGGGGCACTTATTTCAAGTGTTTTGTCATCTTAGAAAGTAAAGAAGTATTAAAATTATACTACTAAATAAAATTAAAATACAAATTCCTTGGCCCAGAATTCTGCTGAGGTTCTTTTGAAAACTTTGTTCAGGTGGTTCTGATTTGTGGGGAGGCTTGAGAGCAGCTGTTCCAGCATGCATGCAGACCCCCTCATAGGGTCCTGGGTCCACATCTCACCCTCCAGAAGTGCTGAAGCCATGAGCGTTCCTGCCCATCTGGCACACCTCTAACTCAGTGGTGCTTTCTTTTTACAGTGAAAGAAGCTGGAAGAGATTTTACCTACTTGATAGTGGTGCTTATTGGAATCACCGTCACAGGTTGATCACAGCAAGTATAATGTCTGTCCCTAAAATCTGTTTAACTAAACATTTGTCTTGCTCTTGATTTGCTTGATCTTCTTTTTCTATAATTCGCAGGTGGCTTGTTTTACACAATTTTCAAAGAACTTTTTTCTTCATCCAGTCCTAATAAGATCTATGGGAAAGCCTTAGAAAAATGCAGATCACACCCCGAGGTGAGTCTTCCAGATGCAGTCACACACACTGTGAAGAACCGGAGAAGATGCCAGGGTCGGGGGACAGAACTCACATATTGGTTCTGAGACTAGTGACGTTTATAGGATAATAAAGTCATAACGGTTGGATTGTGATTATGTTATTAGCTCTTTGTTCTGTACTTGAAATGCCTTAAGACCACCTAAAGGTCTGTGTAGCGATGTTTCCATCCTAATTATACAAGAGAGTCACTTATCGTCATAGATGTTAAATGCTTAGATCTTCCCAGAGTTTTAAACTCATGCGGTAAGTTTCTAGTCTTATAAAAAAGCTTAGTGGCCCCATGATCATAATGGTAATTCTTGACACTAAAGGCACATTATGCACCAGGCACTGCACTCAGCACATCCTCTTTCTTGGATCTCATGAAAGCCATTTGTGTTAAATACTACTGACTGTGCCATTTGCAGAAGGGGAGACTGACACTTTAGAGATTGGGTAACAACTGAGATTGCTGAGCTGTAAATGGTACAGCCAGGACCTGAGGCCAAGTTTGTGTGACTCCAAAGCTTATGCTCTTAAGCACGGCCTGCCCAGAGCATCCCCTGGAAGGAGGCTGACATATGGGAAAGCTGCCCATGTTCTGTTACGAGTCCTGTCCAGAAGGAGGGCTTTCCGTGATGCTTTCCAGTCACAGGTAGAAAGCCAGCGCAGCCATTGTAGTGCCAGAGTGGAAACTCTTTGAAATCTTGTATCTTGAAGGAAAACAGCAGACAACACCAAAAACCAGGCGGGTGGCTTCTCACCCAGACCCAGGAGTAATACAGCACCCTGTGAGGGGGAGGCGTGAGGCTGCAGGTGCCCTCAGTAGGCGCAGGTCCCTGACCGCTTTCCCTGGGCTCCGTGGTATTTGCATTTTAAATTCAGGAAGAACTGCATGTCCATGTCATTGTGAGTTTTCCTTTAGGAATCGTGGGTTCATACCTCTAGATCTGGCTTATTCTAAGCAGTTGATTGTTGCAGGTTCCCTTGCCGTCTGGAAGTGGTGCGCTCCCACGAAAGTTCTCATAAGTCAGAAGCGTAAAGCGAGGGCGCAGCCACCATTTCATGGAAGCAAGAAGCATTTGGATTTTGTTCAGTTAGCAGAAACAGGTATTAGCGTAGGTCCTTCTTAAAAGCAACGTGGTCAAGCCAACTTTTGGATAGCTGGAGAAACCTGTACTCGTTCTTCTATTTCACTGTCTCTAGTGACTCAGAAAGTTGTCTTATTCTTGTAGCTTTGAGTATTAGACCCCATTAGATACATTTCACTAAAAACATTCAAATGTATATTTAAGCATTTGCCCCCATTGTTGTGCCCGGTCTTGAAATATATCCTTGTGGGAGGGTTTTCGCCTAATTCTTTTTTTGGTCCGTTTTCTCATCAGTGGAGTTGTCATTTTGAAAGGGTCCCAGGCTTAATGATTTGTTTTCTTTAAAAAAAAATCACTTGATTTGCCAGAACATATTTCCCTGGAAAGCTTGAAGGGTGGAGGCCTCACCGAGTCTGTCCCACAGGTCATCAGCGTCTTCGGGGAGCCCGTGAAGGGCTACGGGGAGGCGACGCGCCGTGGACGGAGACAGCACGTCAGGTACCCGTTCACATGTGTTCAGGAAGCTCGGGCGCTTGTTGAAGTGACAGAAGTTTGAGCCGCGCTCTTCCATTTTCTTGGCAGTTTTATTGAATATGTAAAGGATGGGCTGAAATACATGCGTGTGAAGTTCTACATCGAGGGCTCCGAGCCTGGGAAGCAAGGAACAGTGCATCTTGAAGTGAAGGAGGTATGGGGACCTTGTGGGACCTTGTGGACTTGGTGGAGACCTCATGGGACTTTGTGGGGACCTTGTGGGAACTTTAGGGGGCCTTAGGAGGATCAAGGGCTCCAATGCAGTAGGACATAAGCTCTGGGGACAGAAGTTACACCAAGAAATATGTTTATTTTTCAGAACCCAGAAAGTGGCGAATATGAATTTCGATACATATTTGTTGAACTTGAGCCCCACCCTAGAAGAACTATCATCATCGAAGACAATCGATCCTGAGCTAACTGCAGGACCCCAGCAAGCACGGTTTCCAAGCACACGTGGAGTGGTGCGGGCACACAGCTCTGCCCTTCCCCACTCTCCTCCCAAGGCTGTAGAATAAGATAGGAAAGAGTGTGTAGCACATAAAAGTGAATGTAACTGGGTAGTAGTTGCATTTAGATACACGTATGTGGAGAATTTCTTACAGAGGGCAAATCATGAAAAAGAACATACTTTATGGTATCTCTGAATCGATCATGGGCAGTATTTCTGTTCTAGTTAATATCTTTCATGATAAGAAATCTGTGTTATTAAAAACTGCACCATGTAAATAAGCAAAAAGAGTTCAATATTTTATGCTTTCATGCTGTATAACTGTAAAATCTGTGAAATAAAGTCAGAAGTAACAGAGATGTCAGAAGCTGCTTGCTTCCACACACTTGGGAATCTGACTTGAACATGTGAGAACATTTGAGAACTGTAGGAAGTTCAAGTGACAAATGCAAATGTTAAACGTATGGTTCAGCACACCTGTAGAAAGGCTGTATACACCACAGTTTGTAGCACTGTAGTGTGTCTCGTACTTCCAGCTCAGCAAGTGTGAACACTGGCTGCAGTGGGAGAAGCCCACGCCCACTCATCGGGGGCCATTGGATCCTCAACCAGGGCAGAGGCCTGTATAGATGCCACACCTCACACGTCTGACCTCACTGTCCAGCTGAACAAGCGGTAAGGTGCAAGCACCAACCACAAATTGGCATCACCGAGTGTCGCCACCCCCTGGAGAGCACAAGTCCCTCCTCACTGCTGAAGGAACATGGAGACAGCCTGGTGCCAGTATTTGTGGGACAGGACCACTGTCCCAAGTATCTACGGGCGATCTGGAGAAAACTGACCCTAACTTCCAAGAGTGCAGTCATGTGACTGTAAAGTGCCTGTGCACTAGAAATGTCCTTTTCTGTGGGGCCTGGGAGTGCTGCGGGGCGGGGGGGGAGTATATCACATGACAAGAGGGTTAAGTTTCTTCAGTAGCAACGGAGAACATGAGAAACTGAGCAGGAGCAGAAGCTACTGTGTCTGTGGTAACAGAAAAGGACTGGTGGGCAGCCCCAGTGGCTCAGTGGTTTAGCGCCGCCTTCAGCCCAGGGCCTGATTCTGGAGACCCGGGATTGAGTCACATGTCAGGCTCCCTGCATGGAGCCTGCTTCTCCCTCTGCCTGTGTCTCTGCCTCTCTCTCTCTCTGTGTGTCTCTCTCATGAGTAAATAAAACCTTAAAAAAAAAAAGGACTGGTAGCTGCAGGAGGGATGAGAGCCAAGGAGGAGGCCAGCATGAAGGCCATTAGGACAGTTCAGACACTGATGAAGCCAGAGAAGGTGTACCGTGGAAGCATGTTTAGGGGGTAGAGGCCAAGTGGGTGCAGAGGGAATAGCCCAGGATAGCCCTCGGGTCCACCTGGAGTGAGCATAGTAAGAACTAGGGGAGGGAGTGGAGATGCTAAGTTGAGCATCTAGGTAAACCAGCCCCCGAGTCAGCCACATGGTGGGTCTAGGAGCAACCAGACAGTCGAGTCTGGTGCTCAGGACACTGGCCTAGAGAAGGAGCTCAGAAAGCCCCACACGGAGGAAGCAGCTGAGGCTTACAGAGGTGAGCTATCCAGTGGAGCACGCACGGCACCTGCGCCCCCCCATTCTCTATAGTGGTTAACAGTAAAGTATCAGTGTGTTTGCACTTTGACTGGTTTTGTCTTTTTTCTAGGATTCCTAAAGATGAAAGAAATCTGGGGACATGCAAAAGAAAAGGAGGCAAGAGAGGAGATGCTGAAATGCAGGGAAGAAAAGGGACAAGGGCAGAGCGAGGTCCCAGGGGACTGGATTCAGGGCAGAACCCGGGGGGAGGGGGGGGCACAAGGGCAGAGAAGTCTGCAGGGGGAGGGGGAGGGGACAAGTTCAGAGTCGTCCCCAGCTGCTTCGCCTGAGTGTGTCATGAGCCAAGAAGACGCTCCGAGTGGGGTTGGGCCTCGGAGAGTGGGATGAGGTGTGGGATAGTCTCCGAAGGGCAAGAGGGGAGACGGGGGAGTGGTGGCCAGGGTGAGAGCAGGCCCAGAAAGTGGCACAGCTGTGTGACCGCTGTCACAGGGACAGAACAGATGAAGCAGGTGATTGGGTTCAGGTGAGTGAGGCCCCTGTGCCGCAGGAAGAGGGGGCTTGTGTCCCCTGGAGTCCACGCACCCTCACAGAGGGCCCTGCCGCCCAGATGGCCGTGCTCACTGGAGGGGAGGGGACGGCAGACAGTCGCAGACCGGGACACACCTACCCATGCGGAGGTTGGTCACACGCTCCAAGGAATGGCGCTGGGCGTCGGGTACCAGGTGGGGAGGAAGGGAGTGGAATCTGCCCCACACCACACAAGTGTCTGCCCCACATAGATTAACACCTTACAACTTCGGTCATCCTTGTGACCTTTGTGGGAAGGATCTTGTAAGACACAGAATGAGAAGTCATGAAGAAAAAGATTGGTTTTAAGATTAGGAACTTCAGGGGACACCTGAGTGGCTCAGCGACTGAGCATCTGCCTTCGGTTCAGGGAGTGATCCTGGGGTCCGGGATTGAGTCCCACATTGGGCTCCCTGTGAGGAGCCTGCTTCTCCCTCTGTCTGTGTCTCTGCCTCTCCCTCTCTATGTCTCTCATGGATAAATAAATAAAATTTTTTTAAAAAGATTACAGAGGGGCACCTGGGGGGCTCAGTCGGTTGAGCATCTGACTCGATTTTGGCTCAGGTCATGATCTCAGGGTCCCAGGATTGAGCCACAGGCAGGGTTCTGCACTCGGCATGGAGTCTGCTTGTTCCTCTCCCTCTGTTCCTCCCCCCACTCAAACTCTCTCCACCTCTTAAATAAGTATATATCTTGAAAAAAAAAAACTTAGAAAAAAATTAAGCCACTAATGAGAACGCTTTACAACACCTATAGCAAAGGAAGGATTACTTGCAAAGAGCTTGAAGACAACCGGTGAGCTAGAAGCAGCAACCCAGGGCGAAAGTGGGCATTTTAACATCCCAGAACAGTTAACAGTAAAGGGAGGGCACATGGAGCTGAGATGCTTCTGAGAAAACCTCCAGCCTCACTGAAATCAGGAACGTGCAGCGTGGGCTCCTCGTTTCCATCTGCCAGACGGGTGAACGCTTTGAAATCAGTAAAGAAGTGAATGGTCTTAGAACATAAACCCAGGTTTTTGTCCCCAGCGGACTTAAAGTCAATAAAACATTCTGTTTAAATGTTAAGAAAGAAAAAAACGAAGAAAAGAGAATGGACAGGGAGCCCCACTGCTTGGAGGGGCGGCGGGGGGGGGGGGCAGTGGCACTTTTTGGACAGCGCACTCGACACTGCTCAAAAAAGTTGAAAATAAATGCACAACGTCCCCAACCAGGACTTCCTCCCATCAGGTGCCTGGGACGCCTCATGCGCACAGGCCCCAAACCCAGAGCAAGACATGCGAGAGCCAAACACCGGCAAGTTTGGACCAGAGCCTGGAGGAGGACACTGTGATCCACCACTTCAGTCACCATGTGTTATGTCCAAATGTTTGTACCCCCCCCCCAAATTCATATGCTGAAGCCCTAACCCCCAAAGGTGATGGTGTTGGGCCCTGGGGCCTTTGGGAGGCCACTGGGCTGTAAGGGTGTGGGCCCCACGCATGGGGTTAGTGTTCTTGTTTTAAGATTTTGAGACCAAGGGATCCCTGGGTGGCGCAGCAGTTTGGCGCCTGCCTTTGGCCCAGGGCGCGATCCTGGAGACCCGGGATCGAATCCCACGTCGGGCTCCCGGTGCATGGAGCCTGCTTCTCCCTCTGCCTGTGTCTCTGCCTCTCTCTCTCTCTCTGTGACTATCATAAATAAATTTTTAAAAAAAATTAAAAAAAAAAAAGATTTTGAGACCGAGACAGAGGAAGTGCAGGCGCAGCGGGGAGGGGCAGTAGGAGAGGGAGACAGACTCCCCGCTGAGCAGGGGCTCAATAGGCCCCGGGACCGTGAGCTGAGCCGCAGGCAGACGCTTCACCGACGAGGGCCTCTGGCCCTGAGGACACCGCGAGGAGGACGCATCTCAGGCTCGGTGCCGACGGGGCTGGTCACCTGCCACCACGCTCCGCAAATTTACACAGATGAAGCCTGATTAAGCACAGGGTGCCCCGGTGTCACAGACCCCCCAGCCCAGCACTGCCCTGGGGATGATTCCCCATCTTCGAGGACTTGATTCAGGGTGGACACCGAGCGCCCCACCTGCCACGCGGGTCCTGCGGCCTGGTCTCGGCCTGGTCTCGGCCTGGTCTCGGCCTGGTCTCGGCCATGGACCCGCTCACCCCGTCAGTGTCTCCGGGCCGCAGGCACCAAACCCCACTTTCCCGTTCTTCTCCGCTCTCACAGCTCTGCTTGTGTCTCTCGTCCTCTCCGTAGCCTGAACTGTAGCCCTGTTTCGAGTTTGGCTACTTACCTGTTCTTCCTCATTTTTTTTTTAAGACTGGTGTGTATCTGTGCGAGTGTGTGCGAGCAGGGGGAGCGGAGGGAGGGGACCCGAGCAGACACCGCGCTGAGCCCCACGCGGAGCTCGAGCCCACGACCTGAGCCCCAACCAAGACTCAGCTGCTTAACCTGCTGAGCCCCCCAGGTGCCGGGTCTCTGTAGGATTTATCCATGTCCTACCCCGTCCCCACAGCCCCCTCGCCTGGCAGATGCTCAGAGCTGCTGTAGCTGGGAGGTAGGAATCCTCCCCTCAACCTCGGTCTGTGCTCCTAGTACCCCCTCCCTCGAAACCAGCCCCCCGAGTCTCCCCTCGACCTCCATCTGCGCCCCTAGGTCCCCCTCCCTCTAAACCAGCCCCCCGAGTCAACCCCTCGACCTCCGTCTACGCCCCTAGGTCCTCCTCCCTCTAAACCAATCCCCCCCCCATCGATCTCCACAGCTCCCCACAGAGGTCCTTCCCCAGGTCGCCCCCGCCCTGCTCCAGCCCCCCTCCAGGGGCTCACCTCCTCATACCCTGACATCCAAAAGCTTTGCTAACAGGTGGTTTTAGGACCTGCATATGTCTTCCTAGTAAATATTCTCAGCTACTTGGAATTTTTGTAAGGCTTCCCAGTGGGTCCTGAGCTCATTCCTTTCTCACCCAAGCAGCCCCAGAAGCTATGCTTTTATGGGCAAGAGGTCTCCTTCCCCCAGTGACATTTCCAAAACCATCTCCTGACCGTAAGGTTCCACCCAAGAAGCAGGTCACGGGCCTATCCTATGGCCTTGGCCCTTACGGGGCAGAAAAGCCAAGTCCCCCCCAGCCCAGGCCACAAGCTCGGGGGGCCGAGAGCTCCTCCTGGGGCACTGCCTGCTGTGGGCCTCTCGCCACAGGGGCTGAGCAGGGCTCCCCACC